TGCAACGAATTCTCTAAACTACTAGCAACACGACGCCAGGCAGAGGAGATAGAGGCGCAACACCGCCTGCACCAGCTCCAGCAGCAGGAGGACGACACAGGTGACCCAGACATCGACATAGCCCGTGCCATTCAAACACTGGAAGCGGATCTGCTCACTCATATGGAACGCAAATGGCAGGGGGCCCGGATCCGGGGCAAACTTTCCATACATAACATGGAAGGTGCAATGGATGCTAGATTCTTCGCAATGGCCAGAATGAAAACTGGGAGATCGGTGATTGAAGCACTGGAAGACCCCAAAATCAACCGGGGCCCCCTGGTCACATCCACAGCGGCATGCACAAAAATAGTCAGAGACTTTTATCAGGAACTCTTCACATCCAGTTGTGGGAGCCGGCTTGAAGATCAGCGGAAACTGAAAATTGAGGATTTCTTAGCTCCATTAAACAAATCCCTCACAACCCAGCAAAGAGAAGTGCTCGATACCCCCCTATCAAAAGAGGAAATAAAGGAAGCGCTGAAGCAAATGGAGGAGGACAAAACCCCGGGCATCGACGGCTTACCAAAGGAATTCTGGGATACCATGTTGCCGATCATCTCACAGGACCTTATGGACTTCTACCACGAGGTCTGGGCGACCGGTAGGATGGGGGAATTTGTGGGACAAGGCGTACTAACACTCCTTTACAAAAAAGGAGACACGACTAACATCAGGAACTATAGACCTATCACGCTGCTCACGGTAGTCTATAAGTTGATCGCCAAAGCCCTGACTAACCGCCTGAAACTGATAATGGCTGACATCATTCATCAGGACCAGACGAGCTTCATCCAGGGCAGAAATATACAAGATAACATCCTCTTGGTCAACGAATGATTAAGTTAGCCAGGCAGACTCAAAATAATGCAGCAATAATCTTCATAGACTTTGAAAAGGCCTATGATCATGTTGATTGGTATTTCCTCGACAAATGCCTGGAAAAGCTTAATTTTGGGCCTCACTTCCGACCCTGGTTCCAAATTTTACACAGAAATGCGGCAACCAGGGTCATGGTAAACAACAACCTGGCCCCACCCATTGAGCTGCAGAGGTCCGTCAGACAGGGGGACCCGATCGCCCCCTCCCTGTTTGTAATAATTATGGAAGCACTAGCGGCCAACCTGCGGACCCACAAAGACATAAAGAGGATTCGAGTATCGGCAATACCCAAAGAAGCAATCCCGGTTTGCTCATTGTTTGCAGACGATCTGACCCTGATGGTCGACGCAACTAAGGAATCAATGGAAGGAGTGCAACGGATGATGGACCGCTTCTGCCAGCTGTCAGATATGAAAGTGAATTGGGGAAACAAAACCCAAGGTTGGTGGATTCACCACCAAAGAGTGAAACCCCCAGAACTACCGAGACTTAGATGGCTCCCTGAAAAGGCCCCTATAAGAGTGCTTGGAATCTCTATGACGGCCGAGGGCAGACCGTCCACCAACCACGAATGGATCACGACCGCCCCCCTAGCAAAAATGGCAACCTGGAAAGACAAACACACCTCATTATGGGGCCGCGCCCTCTTAATTAACAACGTGGTTCTGGCCTCAATGTGGTACAAATCCGCAATCTGGGCGCTGGACAAAAAAGATCTTCGCCCCCTGCAACGCCAAATAGGTGTCTTTTTGTGGAGAGGGGATCACGATAGACAAAACGTTATTAGCCGGGTGGCATGGCACTCCATAACCCTGCCCAAAGAAAAGGGAGGCCTGAGAATCATTGACCCGCTCACACAGACAAAGGCACTGACAATACAATGGATTAAACGACTTATTTTCAGCAATGATTCCCCTTGGCAGGGGCTGGCCGTGGAACAAATCTCCAGACTGGCCCCTCAAACAAAAAACGACACGGATCCGTTAATGTGGCTTGAAAATCGAAGTTGGCCCATACCTAGAGCGTCACGTCAACGGGACCCCTGCCCCGCCACACCCAGACAGTCACTCAAGGATGACCTGGCCAAGGACCCCTTCTGGGCCAATCTCCTTGTTACCTGGAGAAGCCTCCCCCTCCCGGACAAAATACCTCCAGAAAGATAGGAGGAGGTGGCTCGCCAACCCCTGTTCGGCAACAGGTGGATAGCGGACACGAATGGCCAAACCCTCCACTGCATGGACTCGCCATGGCATGGATGGGTGAAGAAAGGGGTCACAAAGATACACGACATATGGGACCCGGAAAAAAAGGAATGGATCGCTCCCGACCTGCTGCGGGAGAGGCTACGATATTGTCACCACCCCCAAGAAGTTCTGGAAAGACTGACGGAAATGATCCCAATAGACTGGCTAAGAATTTTACGCAGGGGTCCTACCTTGCAGAAAAACGATTGGGTGGCATGTTCGGATACCATAGGGGGCGTGGGCAGGGTCGTCGCCTTGCATCCGAACGGATCTGTAACGGTGAACCGTTTCCTGGTACGGAAGGGAAACATTCTCTACAGGAACACCGACGTAGAAACGTCTGTATACCCAAAGGCAGATCTTTTCCGTATCAGGGTGCTCCAAGAAGACCAGCAATGGATAGCTTTCAGGCCGTCCACTCCGATCCAGCAACTACCCCTGGATCCATCAGAGTGGTCATGGACATCTCAAAGATGGAGAGGAAAGAACTCCACTAAAACACTATATGGGCTAACGGTAAAATCAACATACAGGCTCCTTCGACCAAGAACTAACCTTGCCGACCAAGTAAGAGAGCGATGGAGATCTCACCTGAACATCAGTCAGGCGGAGGTAAGACCGGTAAAACGGTTTCGGTTGGCCAAGGCGAAACCTGTCAAGATTGTGTCGCTCCAATGGCAGATAGAGCACCGTTGCCTGCCAACCAATAACTGGTTAATTGACAGAACAACGTTGGAACAAAGAGGCCTGGCCCTTCCCTGGTGCAAACTATGCACGAATGCCTTTCCGGCTCACAAACACCCAGAAACAATAGAGCATATTTTCCTACAGTGCCCGGGTGCACTGTGGATGTGGAGATGGTGGGACAGAATTTGGAGCCATTTAGGCACGGACTCACACTGGCCCTGGGATTGGAAGGCGTTGCTCTGTGAAACCTGGCCTGGGAGTCTGATGGAACACCCAGACGAATTCACCACTAACATGTTCACAATGGGTCGAAGAGTGGTTCTCTGGGCCCTGTGGAGACGACGTTGCACCTATGAAATGGAAGGGGTGAGACTAGAGGGCCCAGAGTTCACTGAAAGTGTGATACTGCAGATCCAAACCGAAATATTAGCCAAATGGGACACGATTACATCTAATATCCAGAATCTGCAAACACTAAAAGACATTAAACACAAATACAAGAATTCTGTTCAAGCTGGCTGGGGGGATGGAGGAAGAATTGGGAAGGTGGAATGCAAAGGAGAGACAAAGGGGATAGACGAGAGTCGACAGGGGGCAGTTATAGAGAGAGACTATCGTTTAATATTCAATGACTGGGCTAAGGTAGATGCAGGGATCCCCCTCAAACCCCCTGAAGCATTTCCCGACCCCTTCTCCCCCCCATCCAACTGCCTGGTAGGGACGCAGTGGTACGGTATGTAGAGGGGAATGAGAGAAAAGGAAAGAGGAATGTTGTAGAAGAAGAGAAGTTCGCCCTGGTCCCACTCTAGTATAGCACATGGATCTGGCAGCTGTAGAGCTGAGAGGAGCTGGACTAAACATGGGCTGACCAATTCAAGCAGGGGTGAGGGGAGGTACATCCTTCCGCAAGGAAGCAATCAATGCCGCCCACTCGGGCCTCCCAACCATAATGGGGAGGAGCGTGTGTGTCCTCTATATGTTTCACAAGACTTGCCGGTGGAATAGGAACCGGACTGTTGCTCCCCAGAATGGCAGGAGCCGGAACCAAATGGTTCTGATCTTCCAAAAAAAAAAAAAAAGGATTTACCTTCTTCCCCCGAATACAACGTACAGTCATTATAGCTGTATTTAGACTGAATGATACCCCAAATACAGCTATAATGACCGGACAGTGTATTCGGGGGAAGAAGGTAGTAGCATCATGATTGCAGAGTTTCAAATGTGTTGGGAACTGGACTTCTTCTTTCTAAGGGGGAAAAAAGAATTGAAGGCTGCACCTCCCCCACGCCTGTCCACGACGTTTCACGAAAAAAAGAAAAAAAAAAAGAAAAAAGAAAAGGAATTGAAGGCTGGCCAGGGTTGAAAGCGATATGCAGCAGCATATTAGGACCTGCCAAACACGGACTGAGACACACAGCTGATTTCTGAGTTTTGCCAATGGAATGTATGCCTTGCTGAGTTTCCTGCTTGTTGCTGAGTTTTCTAAGGGTGTGTGTGTGGGTGTTTGCTGGTCTGCATGCCTGTCTCAGACTGAGTGCTCGTTGGTTTGAGTGTGTGTGTGACCCGCAAGGGTACTTGTCCGTGCGGAAGGCCCAAAGGGCCGGTACTTACCTGTGGCCCACTGGCCGTGACATTGAGGGTTGCAGCGGGGAAAACACTCCAAGTGGCGGGGAAAGACGCCCCCGACACTTGGCCTCATCGTATGCTGGTGCACTGACTTCTTCTTCTTCTTCTTCTTCTTCTTCTTCTTCTTCTTCTTCTTCTTCTTCTTCTTCTTCTTCGTCTTCTTCTTGCTACATTTGGATCTTAGATGATCTAATTTTTGTTCTTCTATCTCTAGCACAAGATGAAGTCAGTGCACCAGCATACGATGAGGTCAATGAGTGCCGGCAGGGACTCCAGCGAGTACAACTGTGGTCTCCAGACGGTTTTTTCATCGTGCATTCGCCGAACTGGTGTGGTCTGTACTGGTGGTTTGAAGAGATGTGCAAGTTCTAATGACCACCATCATGGCCTCATAAAGCAGCAAACATGCTGGACTCACAATAATGGACGATCGGCTCAGATATGTAGCAGAAGATAATTTCAGTGCAGATTTACAATGCAAGTTGTGGGGAAACTCTCATTGTCAAGCAGCATTTGACTCACCCTCTCCTCACCGGTGGCTTGGATCATCTCCATGGAAGCTCTCACTGCAGCACTGGAAGACCTTTCCTGCACGATACATAGCCGCACAAGAAGAGTCAGACCAAAGTTCTCTTTCGTCCTCCTCCGCTTCTTCTTCTTCTTCTTCTTCTTCTTCTTCTTCTTCTTCTTCACCACGAGGATTCAGACCAAAGTTCTACTTCCTCCCCCGTTTCTTCAGTTCTTCTTCTCATTCCTCCTCTTCCTCCGTCTACTCCTCTCATTCTCATCATGTTATTCTTTCCTCCTCCTCCTCCTCTCATTCTCATCATGTTTTTCTTCTCCTCCTCCACCTCCTCCACTCTTCTTCTTCTTCTTCTTCTCATTTCATGTTCTTCGCCATCATCATCATCATCGTCATCATCTTCCTCTTTGTCTTCTTCTTCCCTATTGCAATCCTTCACCCAGGATAAAAGGGTGGTCTGGACGTTCATATGAGTGTAGTTGAGAGGTTGATGTGAGTATAGTGTTTTTTTTTTTTTTTTTTTTTTTTTTTTTTTAAGACAAAACCACCTGTGATAGCAGGTAGGAGTGATGGTAAGAGCATGCACTCCTCCCTGTCTCTCAGGGAGCTCCAGTCCATTGGTGGGGATCTGCACCTGCTGGAAAGCGGGTCCAGCGTCCCTTGAAATACATTGACAAGACAGCAAAAACAGCACATGCTGAGAACCGGGCCCAACGTCCACCTAGATATTGCTCATAGTGCCCCTGATCACTGAGGATCGAATGATGAAGATGAGGTTACTAATACCATCAAAATGAAGAAAAAATGCCTCTTCAGTCCGTCAGGACCGCCAGATCTAACATTATCATGCAAGCATCTTTCCTTCCCCCCAAAAGACTGATATTTAATTCCCCCCCCCCCACCCCCACCAACACTGCAACTCAACTATGGCTAATTCAGAAGGGGGAAATGGGTCCAAATCTTAGCAAGGCTCCTGGTCAAAGTTGGAACCAATCTCGGAAGACGAGCTGAAAGTCCCTTTTGAAGGACCCTTCATACCCTTCCTCCCCTGGCCACATCACTTCACCCAAGCCCCCCTTTGCAGATCCCCCCAGCCAGTCCTTATGAAATTGTCGGATTGCACTTTCGATATCTTTTTTCTGTTGGAATTTGTATAGTTTGGATGAAAGATTTGACCAATGATATCTGATTTCCGTTCGTACAAAATTTACAATCAGTTCCCTCAATTCTGATCCTTCCAACCCCACTCCCTCCCTCTCCCTAACACAACACTTATACCACAAAGTCCATATCATTGCCTTTTTTCTTTTTTTTTGAACTTCATGGCCTGGAGACCTGCTTAACGAGGTGATAAGAGCATCCTCCTTAAGCAGGCCCCAGTTTTGAAGGCTCCGTCTATTGGTGGGGAGCATCACCCTTACGACCTATCTCAAAAGGATTCTGCTGGAAGCTTGACACTAGCAAGCCCTGGGGGACCCAGTGACCCAAGAGAATGGTCTTTGTTTCTATCCACTAGAATTCAACATCACTGCATCATCAGAGCAGTTGACGAAAAGAATCTACAGCCAGATGCTCCGTTTGTATTGCTTGTTTCAGTGTTCCTTATGCCTCCCAACCCCTCACATGTAAATTTGTACATCTGAAGCTGTGCACTCTAACATGTCTGCMCCACTCAGCGCCCCCCCCCCCCCAAGCAACCTTTTTTTTTTTTGAAGGGCCAGCTTTGGGCCGCTAGGAGGGGTGATAAGAGCGCCTTCCCCTAGTGGGCTCCTGCTCAAAGTATCAAAACGTTTTCCTCATACCTCCTCCACAGCTTTGCTGTGGAACCCCTTTAAGTTAGCCAGTAATGCTTAAAACCCTCATATTTGGAGGGGGGTTCCAGAAAGCCCCTTAGTGCTAATGCTTAAGCCGCCAGTACACGACCGCAGACACTGCTGTTACTGGATGGGGGCAGGGGAAGTAGATGGGAGGCGCAGCTACTGGCAAAATGCTCAGTCTTTGCGTTAGCCAGCCCCCTCCACCTGTGGCCCCACCCTACTCCCAGACCACCTCCGATTAGGGCGGGGCACAACATGCATCCCCCTGGTTGTGAGAAGTAGCTATGCTTGCAGGGGTCCCCTGTGTAGGCTTAGGAGTAGTGTGGTAGGTAAGTAGTGAAAGGTGAAAATGAGAGAAGAATATAGCTTACTTTTTCTGAAAAAAAGAGAAAGGATAGGAAGTAAAAAAGGAATGCCACCGTGTCCAAAACTCAGTGGTTAGAACACCGGTTGGAAATGTGCATTGTGGTATGAGATTGCGGGTTCAAAACTCAATTGCAGCCTCGGGCATGGACACCGACAGGGCGTTAGATTGACGCATGGCTGGACATACACTCCCTTGGTCTGGCGCATGGTATTATTACAGACACTGCCTGAGCACCACCCAAGGGTTGTTGTATGTTGCTTCTGGGTTTCACAGGGGTTGCTTGGAGGTCTTGGTCTTGGGTGTTCTGTTGATCTCCCCAGTCTGGCATATCACACGTTCGTGCCATTCCCAATAGTCGTTCATACGGTAGAGTCATTCGATTACATGTTACAAGGTCACGGGTTCGAGCTTGGTTCGGACCTTGGGGGGGTTCCTTGTCCAGCTTGCCCCGTTCTCTCTTCGATATACACACATGATGCTGCCTATACATCTCAATACATAGATTCACAGAGCACACACAGCCTTCGGATATACACACAGCTTGCGAACTATTTATGGCCTACGGGCTACATACACAAGTTTCACACATGATGCTGTCTGTACATCTCGATACATAGATTCACGGAGCATACACACAGCCTTCGGGTATACACATAGCTTGGGAACTACATAACTATCAGACTGGGGGGTTCTAGTCATTGGGTGGGGTCTAGTATCTGCAGTAGGTTCAGGTAAGAGATTCCTACTGACATTTGGATAGAACTGTCTGGTGGCTATATAAGGCTTAGGCCCTAGGGTAAGGGTAGGGATATACGTCGCTCAGGCCAGTCCGTGTTCCGCCTGGCCTTGGGTAAGCTATGGGAAGACGGTAAGACTGCTTCAATGGGTGCTACCCTGGGGCCTGTAGTAATTTTTCTGGGCCTGGCGTCCGAAGTTCCCGTTCGACAAGGCTCGTCCGATTCCGCTTCCACCAGGGTTAGGCAACATATCAGCCCTGGTGCCTATCACTGCTTTTTGGTCCAAGTTGCCTGCGCATTGGTAGGGTAATGGTCCCAAGTGCTGGTCACACTGAGGTAGGATAGTGGGATAGGGGGTGCGCTAGGAGTATTGACCTGAGGATGGGATGGGAGGTGGTCTCATATTCCAGGACACCCACGGCCTACTGCTCCAGGCGATCACTGTGCACTCAGTGACTGGCCTCTACAACACCATGGACTAAAAAAAAAAAAAAAAAACACCGCATGCGACAAAACAACTTTCTCTGAGGCGTCTGTGAAATGGCATAAGGGCCTCGTTCCAGTGCTCTCTATTGATCAATTTTCGAGAGTAGAGCATGGTTCCTCTTAGGGCCTCGCCAGCCACACCACTCCGGGCACTCCCCAGTTCTAGACACTTTACGAGAGTGATCCCTAACGTAAAATCCCACTCGAGAGTGCCTTTCACCACTGCACTCTCGAATGGGCCGCTCTCCAAGTCTGAAAATGACAGTTGCCACACATCCGGACAGGTTCAGTGTGAAGCAGCCCACCAGAGGTCTGTTTGTCCCTTTGATCTCCACTCCCAAATCTGGGGTGAAACTCGGAGGTACGAAGGATCCCTCTCGAAAATGCAGCTTTGCAGGCGGTGGTGTCGGGAGTGCTCTCGGGAGCCACATTCTGACAGCTCCCGAATTCAATCTGACAGAGCAAATTCGGGAGCTGGTGTGGCGACGCTGCACCCCTGAAAACAGCAGCGAGGGCCTTAATCTCGATGGCTCAACTCTCGAAAATCAGTGGAGGGTTGCCAAAGAGGGCCCTTGTCGCATACCGAAATGGTACAGACCAGAACAAGAACCGACCTCTCTCACATAGTACAAGATAGTGCAGCGGAAGGCTAAAATACCAATGATCAGACCAATCAATGTCGCAATGCAGGCCAAACGTACATATGAAGGGGCCTGGCTCACACAGGAGGAATGCGCCAGTCCCCAATCATACACAGATGACGGGAGGGGGATTAGACGAAGAAGAGGGGGAAGATGGGAATGTTGTCAACGCCAGGTCTTCAGTACAGGTCCCAAATAATCCCTCGTCCAATGTCTCAATCCCAATGCCGAGTCTGAACCCAAACGTCGTCAAGTCCCAAAGTCACCAATCTCTCTCTCTCTCTCTCTCGTATCCACGTCGGCCAGAATTGTGGTCAGATGCATTCAGGGAAGTGCTAGTGTGAGTATGCCCTGAGTGGAGCAAGGCCTCTATTTCACCTGAAATCGAGAGTCTGACAGCTCTCACTTCACTCTCGATTTTGCGGATGAATTGAGAGTAGTGGAGCGAGGCCCCAAGAGGCTCGCCACACAGTTTACCCCCCCTTGCCACACAGGCTGTCAGAAAAAAATTGAAAGTCGGCGGTCTACAGTTCACCCCCCCTTCACCACAGGCTGTCGAGGGGCGAGGTTTTCGGTCATGACCAAATGGACTCTGTCTGCCTTTCCACAGGGCACGGCCGTCATGGAATAGTCCCTGACCCTGCATTGTCCCTGACCCTGACAATGCAAATTCGAACGCAATTCTCGAAAGGCAGGTGGGTGGGGCACTTTCGAATTTCCATGTCCTGCAGGCAGGCGGGAGGAAACGAATGGGGGAGGGTGTCTGTCGAGCGTACCATTCTGACACCTGTCAAAAACATTTTGAGCCGCAATTCTTCGAAAGTCTGTGTGGCGATGCAAAATTGTCGAAAACCTGGTATTCGACAGCCTGTGGCGAGCCTCTAGGTCTGTATGCTTCCTCCCAGCTCAGTTTTGGGTGGGTCTTTTTTTTTGTTCTGTTTTCTTTTGAGCAACCAGACTCTACCTTACTAGGGGGGGGGGGGGGGGGGGGTACAAGCAGCCTCCCCTACTAAGGTT